AGAATTCTTAGGTTTGCCCCTAACATTCTTGTCTTGCTTATTCCTAGAAAAGTATTAAGGACTCCTAATCTATAAGCTAAATCTGTTTTGTAAAAATTGAAACAAAAATGATAACGAATGACTTTGTTCATCTGCAAGTCATTAATTAGCCCCTGTGCTTTTGTGGCACTAATATTTAGAGAAAAATAATAAGGGAACCACAGCTGATAAAATTGGCACACATAGGTGAATATTAATGAGCAAAAGTGTGAGTCATTTTAAAGGCACCATTTCCTTAATTAAGGTTCATATTAATGAGTTTTCTTGTATTTGAAAGAATCGCTCAAGTATTCAAGTCAGTTATCATCGAGGTAGCCTTGCCAGCAAACACAATGCTAGTAGTACCTTTCCAATTATTTAACCTAAAATGCACATATTTCTCTAGCCTCAAAGTCATGACTTCTGGAATAAGTGCAAACATTTATCATCAGAAATACTCTTTAATTCTATATAAGCTTGTTTTGAACTTTTGTTTTTATCTTATCTCAGACTATTTGTACTTAGTTCATAAAACATCCCCTCCAGAAAATACTTTTCCATAACATATAAAATGCAGAGTTTCAACTTAATTCCCACCTCTAAGCAAATAAAGTCATGTGCCTTTGGGTGATACTGATTAGTTATAGTTTTTCACTCTATTTAAAAAAGGGTTTAGAGTAGCTTATATATTTATAGATAAAGAGAGAATAAATACAGGCAGTGTAAAAGCTGCAAATAAAAGTTTTTCCAGTTACCCCGAATTTGCTGAATATTATGATGTTGCTTTTGCTCTGAGTTTTGTTAAAGAACTATTCCGCCACTTGTTAAAATGGTAAGAGAGACTTTTTTCAGGACTACTGTGATAGGTGTCAAAACTATTGCAATAGGGGAGAGAGATTCAGCCCAGCTAGGACTACAACAAAGCCAGCTGAGAATTTATAGCCAAGGATCAGTTTGTGCGGTGTGGGGAGGGGAGTGCATGGAAAATTACAAAGAGCAGAGGGGGAGGGTAGGGAGTATTCTTGGTAAATTTACTTTAACAGTACTCTTGCTGAAAGGCCGGCCAGTGTGATCAGATATCAAGGGTGGGGGATGAGGAATTTAATTTGATATTGAAAGTGACCAGATATCAAGAGTGGTAGGATTCTCTCTAAGCTGACTTAGCAGGATTCTTGCTAAAACTGAATTCTTCAAAGATGGACACTGAAGCCCAAGGTTGAGGCTGACTATAGTTTGATCAAGGAGAATTTTTTTTTTCAGTGTTCCAATGACTCAGCCAAGGGAAGAACATGTTTGCATACAGAATTTGCAGGGTCCAAAACAGTAAAGAATACCAGCATCATCTGTATTTCCACAGAATTGAACTCAGGTCTGATTTTATCATTTGGGTTTCAGTTTTTAAGAAACAGTGGGAGGCAGTATGTAGATAAGGTGGCATTTAAACAGAGGTGGTGAGGGAATTTGCCTTGGGAATAGCTGAGAGCCCAACAAGTACAGCCCCCCTAAGGCATGCTGGTGGGCTGGAAAAAGGACAGAGAATCCAATGTGAACGTAGTAGACATGATCAAAGGAGAGAGAAGACTGGAGAGAAGAGGTATAGTGAGAACCAAATCGTTTCAAACCCAGAGGGCATTACACGATCTTTAGGTTTAACTCTGAGTGCTATGGGAAACCATCAGAGGGTTCTGAATAGGGACATGATCTGACTTAAATTTTTAAAGGGATCCATCTGACTGCTGTAATGAGAACAGATTGTAGGAGGGCAAGGATAGAAGCAGAGAGACCAATTAGGGGCTTTTGCGATAGCCCAGGTGAGGCACAATGTGGCCTCTCCCAGGATAGGTGCTGTGAAGACAGTAAGTGGTAGTCCTCTTCTGAGTATGTTTTAAAGGTGGAGGTGAAGGGTTTGCTGATGAATAAGGCTGATTTGCTAGAAGGATGAGATAGCTTTTTTTTTTTTTTTTGAGGTGAGGAAAGTTGAAACAAAAATAGGTTTCTTTGGGGAGAAGAACAGTAGTTTGATTTTTGACATGTTCAACTCCTGATGCCTATTAGACATAGTGAAACAATCAGGGTGTAAGGATGATATTTGGAGCCATTGGGTCCGATCACCTAAGAAGTGAGTGTGCAGAGATAGGTCTGCACTGATATACTGAGTAATCACTTACTTTCTCTGGGTTGCTCTCCTTTGGCTTTACTGGTCATTCGAGGCTGGCTTAGAAATCACATATGAGGGTGTCATTACCTATGTTCTTTTACCCTTCTTTTAAACAGTCGCTGGGCACGTACTGAACGGTGTTTGACTTGCCTATTGACTGGTCATCTCTTCCATTATACTGCAAGTTCCTTAAGGAAAAGCCTAAAGTACATAAGTGTTCTTGAGTGAAAGAATAAATTAAAATCCTTTGCATTTAAGATAAAATCCAAGTAATATTCCCATTCCTGTCTACTTCACTCACCTCTTCTCATACTTCCCATTTGTTGACTCCACCCCAGGTACCTTTGCTAATTCCTTCAAGATCTACAATGTCCTCAACTCTCTCAGGCCTCATGGATTCTTGGATCTCCTAATGCATTAGAATTTATTGAGTCTTGGTCTAAATACGAAACCTAAGAGAAGTACCTCCTGAACCTTTATCTTAATCTGTCTATCCTCATGATCCAAATTTGTGACTTGATAGCATTTATCACAGTTTGTAGATTTCTAAGCATTTATGTCATTATTTACTATATATTTTCTTAGTAAGTTTATGAGAACAGAAGACAATGCCTGTTGTGTTCATTAATCTGTACCCACTCCTCACCACCATGCCAGAGACTTGGACCCTTTATAAAATGTTTACAATACATATAAGATGCTTAATATATTTGTATTAGTACCAATGAATATGGATAATAAAATCAGTGTATTTGTGATTTTTTTATTACATAAAACCATAACACCTTTTGGTAAAAATATTTTAATCTGTTTCTCTTATAATGGGGAAAGTTTGAGGTTATGGAGTAAGAATTAGTCTCCTGCTCGTCCAGTAGTGCCTGGTTTTTACAAGTATGTAAACATTTCCCTATTGTACAGAAAAAGGTGCTTTCCAGAACTGTATCACCCGTAGGGAATGTTCCGTGGCTGCTCTTCGCTATTTTAGCTGATGATGTGGAACAGCATTCCAAACGTATATGGACTTCTGAGAAGACACAGCAGTATGAGCAACTATTTTTCAAATGAGTTTTATTGAAAAGAGTTTAAGAAACTTTAATATTACAATCAGTCACGTGGAAAAATTATGCATATAGAGAACAATTTGTTTTGGTTAAAGTTATCTCAGAATTCTTTGTTGAGATAACAAATTCAATATAACTACCTCTAAAATTATTTGCAAATATTCAAACCAATAATGGTTTGACATATTTATACTAACCAACTTTTAATACTTTTTATTATTTAAAAAATATATACTCATATTTACAAAATTAAGTACAATTGCTGTTTCCAAATTCATTTAAAGAAGCTATAGCTATAAAAACCTAGAAGATACTATGTATCCCTCTTTCATAAGTAAAGACTCCTTGCAAAATTAAATATTATTAAATTATCATTTCAGTTAGTTATTTGAGCCTAAGATGGGGGGGACTATCAATGCAATCACTTTTAATAGGCTTTCTCTACCCCCTGCAATTGCTGAAGTCTTTCCTGTGTATGGAAGAATTACTGTAGTTAGAATTAATTAATCATATAATTAGAAGTGATGGACACTTGGAAGCAGGAAGAAGGGAATAGACCCTTATTCCTTTAAGATTTTCTCTGAAGGACCTCTCCATGGAGAAGTGACAACAAAAAATTATCTGACCCGTTCTTTCATACTGCTTTTTGTAATAGCAATTAATAAATTTTGAGAAGCTATATGAAACTCCTTAGACTACAGAAGGAAAAAAACAACTTTTTTTGTAACTATAAGCTTTTGAAATACTAGTGTAAGAATTAGGTAAAAATTAAACTATTGCACTTTGCTATTATAACAAAATGGCTTTGGAAAAAATCTGTTTGAATTAATAAAATAAATTCAATAAAGGCTCAATCTACAAATTATTTTTATATTTAATATTTTTAATTGTTAGTATTCTCATATTAAAGTAGATATACATTCAAAATATTTAATCTTCTGGCACTACAAATATGACTTTAGGTTTTCCAAAAATATAGGAAAAGGGGAAACTTTTCATAATGCAGTCACTTTAAAAGGAGTGAAAATTGTATGTACTCTACTTAGCCCATAATGGGAAATATAAATAATAGAATGATAAATGTTTACTAATAAAAAGTATATACCTCCAAATAAACATTTATTTCATTAATATTTTGAAAGTTTCCAAGGTTAAATATAGGGAAAGGAAATCTGAGCATAAATATTAGGAGACATAGCTAGATGAACCATACAAAAGAAAGTACATTCATAACATTTTCTAGCAATAGAAATTGAAGGTGTTTTGTTGGGTTTTCTAATTCCTCTGAATATCTTTTTTCCAGTTTAATTTTTTAAAGGTTGACAGAATTATCGCTAACACTTCTCCTCGAAACAGCATATAATTTAATGAACAAAAATTTGATTTCTCAAATGTTCACAAAGTTTTTCAAACCAAAATTTAACTTAATATGTATATGAATCCTATAATTGGCAGCAGATGATACTCATCAATCTGTAGACGTGACCATACATCTGAAGAAGTTTCTTGAACAGGGTGTTTAATATGATCTGGCAAATTGCACTACCATTTGTGCTAACAATTTTCAGTGCTATCATAAAGATCAGCCACAGATTTGCTTCCTTAAATCTACCAGAGGGTTTTTACTTGGTAATATGCATAAAAATCCCACCATTTTCTAGTTTCTATCTTATTTGAAATCTTTAGTATTTATTTACTTCCTTCATATGTATCTAATTGACTATGAAAATTATCTCTGCTTTGAAACTGATTTATTTTCTCAGGTTAATCTCTTGGCTTTTGGATTTATCATATACAAAGTTTTTCGTCACACTGCAGGGTTGAAACCAGAAGTTAGTTGCTATGAGAACATAAGGTAAATGTCTCTTTAACTCTATTTCTTTAGTAGTTAAAAGCTTTAGTAACTTAAGGCACAAATATTTCTTGAAAGGACTATTTTTAAAATTATTTTTTGTACTTTCTTCTGCCATATTTAAAATACTTAGTGTTAAATAGCATTTAATATGTTTAATAAGATTATAATCACCACATATTAAGTGGTAAGTAAAGCAACCTTTTCCAACATAATCCCCTTTGAAAGAAAAGATGATGGTTGTGTTATAGGGCAAAAATAGACCTTAGTGATTTTCTTTGGAAAACATTCCTTGGAGCTTAGTAACTGTGTTTCTTGTGACTCCTAGTTTACATGCTGCCATGATTTTTCCTTTCCTTTCCAACCCTCTCTTTAAAACTGATTTATTGAGACCTTGAAAATGGTTTGTTCAGGAAAAACTGAAGTGCGCTATAGGGAACATTAGAAACGACTAACATTTGTGTTGCTTGGAAACACTCCTGTAGTTTCAAACCTCGCACAAGATTTATAGTTCGGATTTAGCAAACGTTTGATCGATTACTTTCTTTTACCCTTCACCATTCATAGCTTCATGTAGTGTGCTGGTTTTAATAAAGTTGAAAATGACTCATTTTCTGAGGTATACTGCTAAAACATCTTCTGCAGTATGAAATGATTGGACAAAGAATGAGTGAGAAAATAATCATTAGTTGCCTCATTTTCAAAGCAATGTCCTCAGTGAGCAGGACCGAATATTGCTTGACCAAAGTCATAGGCAATAAATTGAAAATACGGTTTCTTTTTTAATTTTTAAGAAATCAGTGTTCTGACATGAATTCATTTTGAGATAACTGTATTGCAACAGTGAAAAAAAAAATCTAGTTTTCTCTCTTATCCTTTCTTGACTATACCTGAAAGGAAAGCAGAAGCTTCCTTTGATGGCATGCACACCTACTGACCCAAGTCCACGCAGTATAGTTTACAAGGTTTCTTAGGGAAAATACCACCTAACAGATATATGTCTTACCTTCAGGAATTATTGCAACATTTGATTTGAAATCAAAGCACATACACTACAGTACACTAGATAAAAATACTTTAAGATTAAGGAAATTCCTTGAAAAATACCATATTTTAATAATGTTGCCTTCATTTTGGAAGCACATCCCTGCCCCAGAGCAGTAATATACCCAGAAGGCTATCCTGTGAAGCTAGAATAATTCGTCAGTTTCAAAATCCCTTGTGGTCTTTGTAGATTTCTTCATTGTACCACAAACTCTTTTCCCACATAATTGGAGGAGTTTAGGGGTGTGTTGAGGATATATAGCTTTCTTAACTGACACATTTCAAATATGTTCTAGGTCTTGTGCCAGGGGAGCCCTTGCTCTCCTATTCCTCCTTGGCACCACCTGGATCTTTGGGGTCCTCCATGTTGTGCACGCATCAGTGGTAACAGCTTACCTCTTCACCATCAGCAATGCCTTCCAGGGGATGTTCATTTTCTTATTCCTGTGTGTCTTATCTAGAAAAGTAAGCAATTTTATTTTATTTTTGCCCATTTGTTTGTTTTTTAATTTTGGTCAACCCTACAGCATATTCATGTAGCCTCAGTTACCAAATTGATAAAAATTCTTATTCTCACAGATTTATGTTGAGTCTTTATAGCCTCAATACAGTACACTTTAGTATCAAATCAGAAACACCTAGCTGTTCATATGGAAATAGACTTTCAAACAAAACTTGTTCTTAGGAATGTAAACATAGCTTCTATTAATTTGAACATATTCTGACAGATGATGAGAAAACAATACTTTTGAAAACCAAATATAACAATGTGATTTGAAAATAATTCGATGTGATTGTTGCAATTATGTTTACCATTTTTTTTCCTTTTCTTTTTTAGATCCAAGAAGAATATTATAGATTGTTCAAAAATGTCCCTTGTTGTTTTGGATGTTTAAGATAAAAATAGAGAACTATGGATAACTTTTGCTACACATAAAAAAGCCAAGCTATGGAGGATAGCCAATGTATAAAAGTGACTTGAACCAATTATCCAATTATTAATTACTAATCAACTATTTTAAATCAGTTTTTCCGTTTACAGTGTAGAAACTGTAGATAAGATACGTACCATATAACTGTAGTTTGCTTTCCAACACGACATAGTTATGTCAAAATAGTATTGCAGATATGTAAAAAGTAATTGATTTCTCAGGAGTGATATCACTGCGCCCAAGGAAAGGTTTTCCTTCTAGCACAAGAAATATATGAATGTCCTGAAGGAAATGACTGGATTGCTATTTTTGTGACATGTTGCCTTTGAAACTAGTCCCTTATCACCTTGGTAATGAGCTCTGTTACAGAAAGTGGAATATGAGAGAATGAAGGGGCAGAATGTAAAGCAGGAAAAAAGAAATGGCTATTATAAGCATGAGATATATTTTGAGTAAACTTGGCTTTTTTGTAAGCTAAATGAGAAATTATAGATAAAATATGAATGAACATATTTTGCCATTGTGTGAATTGTTCTGAACTTAAACTTCTAAAACACCTTAGACTTATGTTTGTTATATCCATTTTCTTTCCTAATATTCTAAAAAAGACACAACACTTCACAAATAAAATGACAATTATATTCTGTTTTTTAGGTGAACGTCATAATGGGTATATGCTGTTTCTATACTTATTTCATAGGTTATAACTTCAAATGCTTAATTAGTAATACATAAATGTGCCAAATTATAATATTGTTCATGGCTGCAAATGTAAAAATAGTGTATATATAAAGCTCAGGTATTCTATTCTACAACCTTTCAGTTAGTGAAAAATATTGTTATCTCATTAGGCTAGTGTATTTCAGTTCTTTATTTCTTTTAATTTTAAAAATATTATAGTTCACATCACAATAGTCCCTTTTACTATTTTTAAAAGGGCATTGTAAATATGAAAGTATTCAGAAAGTGAATTGCTATTTTTTTCTGTTCAGAAAAGTACACATTTAAAAATGTTATTTATAACAAAGAAATCACTGAGAACTGTAGAAATGTTCACAGTGGATCTATTTTCTGACAGTTTTCTACTATCTATTAAAGCATATCTGCTTAAATGTATGGCTTCTGTCTATCCTCAAATCTTCTCCTTAAAAGGTAGAAGCAGTGATTTTATTTCAAAAATATGTAATTGTCTGCACCTACCTATAGAAGTATGCCAATACACTAAATGCTGTGATTTTAAATTAATTTCTCCGGCTATTAAAATGAAGTCTGTCAAAACTTGCTCTAACAAATAAAATGTTATCCAAATGAATGCAGCTACTGTTTTGCCGAGTCGTTTTCTCAAGATGAGCTACCTGCCAGTATGCCTATACATTTTTAGAGAATCCATGATAAATTTTCATTATATCTTCTGATCTCTTATATGCTAAGCCTATGGCCCATTATTATCATTGTCATTATAGAACAGTGTCATAAGAATGTGATATTGAAAACAAATCTGCTCAATCGATATATACAAATGATGTATGGTATGCAGAATAATAGCCCTCCCAACACTTCCACGCCCTAATCTTCAGAATCTGTGACTGCTACCATTAGGTTAGGTTACATGGTGAGGACAATTAAGGTTGCTAATCAGCTGACCTTGACATAGGGAGATTATCCTGGATTATCTGGGCAGGTCCAATGTCACCACAAGGGGCCTTATAGATGAAGGAGGGAGGGAGGGAGGCAGAAAAGGGAACATGTCAGGGTGATACAGCCTGAGACATTTGGACCAGCCATTGCTGGCTTTGAAGACAGAAGCAGTCCACAAGCCAAGGAATGCCGGCAGCTTCTAGAAGCTGAGAAAGGCAAGGGAACGGATTCTTCCCTAGAGCCTCTAGAAGGAAGTTAGCCATGCTGATACCTTTATTTTAGCCTGGGAAGACCCATTTTGGACTTCTAACTGCCAGAACTGTGAGATAATAAATGTATATTATCTTAAGCCACCAAGTTTGTTGATAATTTTTTATAAGTTTATTGATAATTTTTTGTAATTATAGCTACCATAGGGAATATTATGGAATTATGTAATAACATCTTTAGAGACAAGCAACTATTCATACATTAGGACAGACCTTAACTTTGGATCTTCTTTTTATCAACCGTCCCATAGATATCATTGGATAAAGCTTGTATTCTTTAGGATGCTGTTTGCAACCTCCTCGGGAGCTCCCTGGGTATATTATGAAACCAGCCCCCATATGTGGAGGACGGGGAGAGACCGAAGAAAGAGGCAGGTGACTCCAGATTGGGAGGTGGCAGTTTCAATAGGCAAGAAGACTTGTCTTAGGAGATTTGTCTCAGATGGTCACAAATGAGTAGATCTCCACACCCACCCACCAAATCTTAAAAGTTTATATAGAAGCCCTACCTGGATTCAGTCACATGTACCATCCAGATAGTCTCAACACCACATTCCTATCTCAAGGCTGCAATGTTGAGGCAGCTTCTGGGAGCAGTGAAGACAAGCAGAACGCACATTCCAAGGACTGCGAAGGGGTAAGGAGCCTACAATTGCCCAGGTCTAGCTTTCAGGTCAATCAGATGTCAAGTCTTCTTGATGACTTCCTCCAACAATGAGATTTCAGACCTTCTCATATCGGCTTACCGCCCCAGTTTTCACCTTTTCCCTATAAAAATGTCTTCCGTCACACCAAACTGTTTCTCTTTGCCAAAACTTACCATGGTTTACCAAATGCCCAATTCCTGGAATTTCCTCCTTGTTACAATCATTACCCTGACAAACATTTAGTTATACCTAATGTGTCTTTCTCTATGAAGCCTTCCTGGACTCATACAAGGAATTAATCACTTCCATGTTTATGTCACCACTTTATCTAGCACTTAACCTATTTTAACATTCATCACAATGAATTGCAATTATTTAGGCCATGCTCAGGACATTCATTATACCTAATTTTGTTCTTCATTAATGGCAGGTACCTTTTCTCTTTTTTGCTTCCTGAATCGATGTTACAGCCTTCTGCTGCCTTATGGTAACACGACTGATAGGAGGGTCTGGACCCTCTGGACAGTCTGGCTTTTGCTTTAGGTATTCCACACTGGAAACCCATTCAGTGAACTGGCTTTCTCAGGGAAAGCTCTCTGTGCTTGTCTCTAACTGTTAAGGAGTTCAGTGGAAGAGATGGCCCAGCAACCTCAATTTGATGAAGTACAGCAGACAGAGGAATTAGGCTACCAAGGTAGCCTATGGCTACAACTCAGTTTTTCCAGGAAAGACCTTTGGGGATTTGTAAGAAGCTTACAAAACCACTAATAGTGTGATTTATTTTCCATTTGGCTGTTATTCCTCATGTACCACTCACTTCCCTGTTTGATAGTGAGACAAATATTAGGATTTTAGACTCAATCTCCTCAATCCCTAAAACAAATCACAAATTCTGTTATATTGATTTACAAACTCGTCTTTTCTTGGTAAATAAATGGGGATGAAAGGAAATTATAGAATCTCAAGAGATCCAATCAAAGAATTCAATACTTTGAATTCTATTAATGATTTGAACATTGAGCAAATACTCCACATCTACATGCTAGGCATAACCAACAACGATATTTATTAATTTGCTAACATCATTTCTTCAGTCCCTTTCAATTCAATGCCACTCCCCTAAAATTAGACAATAACTCTGCATTTCTTAATTTTCTACATATTCAATTTAGCTTATACCTATCTTTGATGCCTTACACAGTAGGAGTCTTTTCTATAGATCAACATTATTCTCTAATTTCTCCAACATGAAATCTTTGAAGAAAACACAAATTATGGATCCAGAGAGAGTACCCATTGTTCAGGTGTTTCCTTTACTTGGAATGTCTTCTCCCATGCAAATTCTACCCATCATTCAAAACCTCCCTCTATGAAGCCTCTCTGATCAATCTGGTCCTTATTATTTCCCCAATCTACTAGAGCTATAGCACAGAGTATACAAGATAACAGAGCACTTAGTAGGAGTCATTGTGAAATTGTCATGAACTTAAAGCTTCTAGGTTTTAGATTACAGATATGAGAGAAATAACTTAGAGAAGGCATTTAGGGGTGGCAGGGGGAGAAGATTACTTCCTGAAAGTTGATACAGATTACACTGATCCATTATTACATTGCATGATCTCATTTAATTCTCACAGTAACATATGCAATTCTATCCTCATTTTTCCATGTGAAAAGTACTCAATGTCATGTAGCTAGAAAATTGCAAAGTCAGTCTTCAAAGTGAAAGCCCCAGCTCCTTCTGCTCCCCCATGGGAACTCAGGAACTGGCTCACACTCTCAGATAGAAAGTTCCACCATTCTGTGGCCATAAACTCATATATATAGTAGGAGGGCAGTATCCTGTTTATATCCTCTGGGGGATGACATGTTTTTTTAACATAGGATGTTGATATGTCTTTTCTACATGCATATGCAATGTGAAATGCATGCATATCACATGTTTTAAGGTACAATGTCTGTCTTCTTTTCTCTTGGCTTGGTTGCCATTTCCTTCACATTTATTTCTGTTGTCCCGATTCACACCCTCAGCTAGGCAATTCATTTTAATTACCTGTTATATAGTCTTCATATTCTTCATTTATATCATCATGTTCAAATCATTAATAGAAGATTACATTATAAAAACCTCTCTCCTACCTGTTTTTTTCTCACTTGGAAAACTAATGGGTATAGCTCACTCATTCTTTTTAGTGACTGAGTAATATTCCATACTGAGGATGGACCATAAATTGCATAGCTGATATGCAATTTGGGTTAATGGAGTAATAGAGTAGAAGACTTCAGTATCTTTCAGAAGGAATGTTCTCTATGCCATATAGCCCGATTTTATTGTCAGAAATACTCAATGCTATCTTTTTTCCTATGTTCCGATAATAGACGTGGGCTCGTGTTGATAAGACAAAAGGCTATAACCCTTTCTTTGATGTAGAGGTTCCTTGTTATTTCTGGTAAGT